CCCCCCCCCCGGCCCCCCCCCTCTCCCCCCCCCATAATCCCCCCCTTTTCCCTTTTCCGGCGGGCCCCCTTCCTTCCCCCCCCCCCCCCCCCCCCCTCCTCAATCCGCTTCTCTCTCTTCACCCTTCCTAAGATTCTCGTTTCCCCCGACCCCTCCCGCACGCTCCCCTTCCCAGCCCTGGCTTGTCTCCTATGATGTCTCTCACCCCGGCGCGTGGTCGACGTGTCTCCGACGGCCCGACCTCCGGCAAGCGCGGTCGTCCCGAGTCCTACGTACGCCGCTATTGGGAAGACATCGGCGTCCCCAACGTCGGCCCCAAGTGTATTTTTTGCGATCACCGCTCCGTTACTCGTCTCTTCCGTGCTCCCCCCGCTACGAGACACACCCTCATTTGCAAGAACGCCCCGGAAGACGTCAAGGATACCTTGCGTCGACTCACGAACAACAAATATTCACGCCGCCCGCCTGTAGCCTCCGACTCATCTTCCGTGCAGGCTGTTGCCGTCGCCGCCGCCGCTGCCGTCGAATCGAAGCCTCACAACCCGCAATCCCAGCAGCGCCAGCAACACCAACGGCAGCATCACCAGCAACATCGCACGCAACACCCGCATCCACAACAGCAACACCCGCATCAACAACAGCAACACCATCCCACACAACCTCTCCAGCACCATCAGCCGCAACCACAGCATCATCAGACCCAACCACATCAGCAGCATCACCAACCCCAGCATCATTCGCAGGATCAGTCCCAACCCCAGCAACCGCAACCGGTCTCTCAGCAGCCTCAGCAGCCCCAATTTACGTTCAAAACCTCCCCTCCAAATCAACCAGACCCGCACAGTCATGACCCCACCTCTATTCCAAGCATTGCTTCGCCACGGCATGTATCCGCCAACGTCGTCTCTTCCATGAATGGCGCCTCTACCGCTGCTCTCAATCCCGCGGTCGATGCCAGCGGTGTCCCTGTCACCGTCCGATCAGCTATTCTCAACGATCCCCGAAGTGTCGCCACTGTCCCCCGCACTATGGGTCTTGTTCATGCCGCTTCTCATGCTGTCAACTCAGCGACCATGTCTCCCGCTACTGATATTCTTTATGCCAGTGGCTCCGCACAGAGGTTACTACATCAGCAACCAGAAGAACTCACGAGCCCAGCGACCGCGTCTCTCAACCGTGCGTATGCTGAGTTAGCGTTTGCAGTCATGGAGGCCATGTTTCCGCCGGCATTGGGAAGAAAGAAAGACGGACATGTCCCAACTCCAGGCGAGTTTCGAGCAGCTTTGCAAGACATCAAGGAAGCAGCCCGTTGCAAGGCGAAGAGGCAACGCAATGAGGCTAGGGCTGAGGCGGCGCGCCTGCAAAACGCCATTTCCGTGCTAGTTACAACGAAGACCATCAGCGGAGCCACGGAAAGGCCGGTCGATGTAGTTGAATCAGATGATTCTGACGATGAAATGACCCCTCACACTGTTAATCATATGAACACCCCGCGGCGGAATGACTGGTCCAATGGATATGACAGAAGTCGCAAGTAGTGGCACCTACACACGATGCAGGGGGAGGACGGGGGATTCACATAGGTCGATACCTTGGGTTAGGCGAGGATTAGAAAGAGATGGTCCCCCAAAAGCTTATTGATGGGTACAAAGTTTTAGGAGACGGCATTCTGACAGCAGAACCTCTCAACGCAATCACTCAGAATTTCTCAGGCACCGCTGCAAGCAGCAGATTTTCACACACACAGCGTTTTCCATTAGATATATTTCGTCTTGCAGCCTTATGTAAAGCCTTGCGTATTTCTCTGAAGTTGTTTCCCTAAATTGCGTGAAGATGGAGGGAAACGTGGTGGTATAATTCAGTGAGGTACGAGATGTCATAGAGATAGAGAGGGAGAGAGGATCGAGGTGCTTGTCCCACCGGAAACAAATGCCTGTCTTTCAACGTGCGTTGACGTGGCGGGGGCATAAAACTTTTACACTTTGCATGCATAAATTGGTGCTCGCGAAATAAAAATATGTCCCCTCCTGTGCCTCTTATTCCGGACAATTAGGGCCAGCTAATGATGCACCTCCCCCTTTCACAGCCACATCTATTTCAAAAGCTACTTATTTTTGACGCACCCACGCCGTGGCGCTCCTCCACAGCTCTCCAACCCAACTGTCCGTAAGCCCGTCGCTCTCGCCCCTCACAGTTCGCATTGCCAAATTCTTCGCCAACCGCGATCTGCCTGTAACGCGACCCCTGTTCGTCATTCTCCGCTCAAGCCGCCATGTTGCGCTGCCGGGTCGCGCTGTTGCGGAGGATGGCGATCCGATATCTTTCGTCCTTGCCAGAGCACAAAGAGATTATCATGCCCAAAGTCTCCCCCACAATGACGGCGGGACGTCTGGTCTCGTGGAAGAAGCAAGAGGGCGAGGCGTTCGAGGAGGGCGAGGACATTGCCGACGTCGAGTCCGACAAGGCGACCATGCCCATATCAGCTCGCGAGGACGGCTTCATGGCCAAAATTCTTGTCGGGGAGGACAGTCCGGAGATTCCGCTCGGCGAAATTCTGGCCATCACCGTCGAAGAGGAGGAACTGATCCCGGCGTTTAAGGACTATGCGCTGCCTTCGGAAGCAGAGAAAGAGACCCCTGTGCCTGCTGCGGCTCCATCAGCAACCGATGCCGCGCCACCCTCTACTCCGCAAACACAATCTCCGTCGCCAGCACAGGCGCAATATACGGGGCCGAAGGGACCGGCCGTGATGCGGTTGCTGAATGAATTTCCCAGCCTCAACCTTAGCGCAATAGTGCCCACGGGACCGCAAGGGCGCATGCTGAAGGGTGACATCTTAGCTGCGATCGAAGCGGGCACCGCCTTTCAGGCGGCGCCAGCATCAGCACCGCCATTAGCACCGCCGACAGCGACGAAAGCAGACACTGCAGCAACGGGTGATTTGCAATTGGCCGAAGTGGATGGAATGCCAGCACATACTGACGTACCAGTAACGTCAATGCGTCGTGCGATCGCGAAACGGCTTGTATTGTCCAAGGCTGGCGTTCCTCATCGATATGCTTCATCTTCGTACGAACTTGACAACCTTCTCGCCATGCGCCAGCGACTTAACAGCATGGGCCCTCCGTCCAAGATCTCAGTCAACGACTTTATGATTCGTGCGATTGCCATTGCGCTACGTCGAGTCCCAGAAATGAACGTGAGCTGGGATGAGGGTAGCCAACAGGTGGTTTATAATGAAAATGTCGACATCTCGATGGCGGTTGCGATTGAGGGTGGACTCATTACGCCGATCGTGACGCGAGCAGATTCACGAGGATTGGCAGATATTGCAAAAACTACAAAAGATTTGGTAGCCAGAGCCAAAGGGGGTACTCTTGCACCAGAAGAGTTTGAAGGTGGATCATTTAGCGTGAGCAACTTGGGAATGTTTGGGATCTCGAAGTTCTCAGCGATCATCAACCCCCCACAAAGCGGGATTTTGGCAGTTGGAAGTGGATGTAAGTTTGATATTTGCACCGCGTTGTGCCTGGCATGCGTATTCTTTGAATAAGCTACTAACCGACTGTTCTCTTTGTCTTTTCTACGTTTTGATTTCCTCGATATTGCAGTCCAGCGAGCTGTTCTGAATGAGGACAATACTCTGTCAACGGTGACAGAGGGCACAGCGACGCTGTCAACCGACGCCAGAGCGGTGGAAGAAAAGACAGCAGCCGAATTTTTGAATGAGTACTCCAAGTGCATCTCCAACCCGGAGAGCATGCTCATGTGATCGGAGGCAGGGAAAGTCAGTGGTTGCACAAAACCATAATAAAGACAGAGTAACGTTAACTATCGAACTCGAAGACAGACGTCGATTCGCCATACTTGTGCAAAGGTGTATGTTCAAAATAGGGCGCTCGTGCTCCTGCATTCAAGATGTGTTCGAAGCGTCCTTCAAAGGTTTCCGTTTCGCTGGTTCAAAGAAGGTAGCGACATTCTTAACGCCTGGGATTCCTTTTATCACGCGAAACTCCCACGTCGGCAGCAACACGCCCCTCTCCACGCTCTTCAAAATCCACTTTGGCGACACAACAACGGACCTATCCGCCGGGCTAGCGTCAATCTCCTTCTGAATCTTGCTCGCGGCTAAATTATCAGCAATCACATGAGTGACCTGCTGTCTCCGCCAGAGCTTGTCCACGACGCCGCCGTTGCGCCACACGACGCCCTCAAGCTTCCGCTGGCTGGCGGACTTGACACCTGTGAAGTAGACAACAACGCCGTGCAGAATGCGCGTTTCGGCGCGAGGGGCCTGCGAGATGAGCTTCTTTTGCCGCACGTCGAAGTAGTTGGTGCGCGTCCACGACTTTTTCTTCGCGATTTGGCGCGAAGAGGCGGGGAAGGAGAAGGGAGCTTGGCGTAGTGTGCTGGACTTGCGGTCGGAGGTGGATGGCGCGGAGGGAGGAGTTGGGGTGGCGGCCATACTGAAGGGATATGGGCAAAAGGGGGTGTGGCTTTTCGATGGACGGCGATTTGTTCGGAGGGAAGCGATGTGGGAAAGGTACTTGCATGGGCGAGGAGAGAAAGGGGGGAGAGCAAGGGAGGAGAGAAAGGGGGAAAGCACGGGATTTGAAATGGAGGACAATGGGGCCTGCATTCGGCAAATTTTGGATGGCTGGTAGCCATTGGCCGAAAGGCGTGATGTTTTTAAAGGATGAAAATAAGCACGGCGCTCGGGGGGGCATGCCACATAGTGCGTAGCGGAGGCGCGGCAAGTACGTGCCCAAAGTGGATCACTTTGGCGGGCGCGCGCGTTTTTTGCGACAGGGATGCCCCGGTACTGTACGAAGCACACACACCTGATAGGCGCTGACGTCACGGTTTGGGAACGAAGACACGTGTGAGATGCAAGTGCGGATGCGTTGGCATCCCCCGTGGTACTTTCCCGCAGCCGTGTGAGAACTGAGATCAGTTGAACGTGCAGCTGGGGCTTGCCTCGCTGCATGCCGCTGCGTGGAGCGCCCGTGCAAACGTGACACTGTATGGTTGTTGCTGGAGAGTGCAGGGAATGGCTACGTATGTCGTGCCTATCGTACCGTCTGCTTTATGATTCGTATCAAACGTTTCGCCAAGGAGGCGGCGGTGGACATTCCAACGTCCCCCATCCCATTACCCTCCTGGCTTGTCTCGCTCCTCTGTGATATGCTTCAGCTTGAGAGGCTTCGCGGTCTTGTCTTGTCGTCCGGTGTTAGCGTACACTATTGCTGCACTAAACGATGGTGATATCTACTGCACGATACTTCAGGCCAAAAGACACAAAACTCCGAAGATGAAAAAGGTTTTTACACTGAGGGCCGTTCCTAACTCGCAGTCCCTCACTAAAAATTCACTATCAAGAATTGTCCACAACAAAGTTAAACCGACTTATTAAAATTCCTTGCGCCAATACCCAAATACCACCAAAGTTAGGGAAAGTTATAACGAACCATAAATACAGGCTACCCGCTCTCCAGTACTGATCATGACGACCACTCCAAACGGATTGCATCACGAATCGGCCGGAGCATCGCCTTTAGGCGGACGAGCTTCTACGAACCGACCAGCAGCCAATCCCGGAAGCACCAAGCCGCTCCAGCTTTTGCGAGCGGGCTCAAGCTTTTGCGAGCGAGCACCGCGGCTTGGCAGCTTCTACTTGAAGCAGCCCATCACGACCATTCCCCTTCAAGCGGCGCCATAGAACGCAACCAAAAGGAAATCCCAATTAATCATCTAAATCGGGGGGGTCGACACCATTGCGAAAGTCAGAAAGACACATGCGGGACGCATCAGTTGATAGACAAGCCAAGCAAGGAGGAGGTGATGTCATTAACCCTGCGGGCCTTCTTCTTCTCGGCCTTGCGAGCCTTGCTCTTCTTCTTCTTCTTGCGGAGAGCCTTCTTCGGAGACATGGGACGGAGGGACCAGGGGCTCATCGAGGCGAATTCCATCTTCACTTTCTGCACTTCATGAAGAAGATGGAGAGCCTCCTCAGTATTCATGCCGGGGCGGGTGAGCATATTGTTGAGGTCACGCTCGTTCTGTTCGATAGCGGCAATGATTTGAAGATCCAGAGCATCCATTGCTTGAGAGTAGAGGAAGATAGAAGTGTGTGTCTCGGGAAAAGGAGGGGGGGTGTTGTGTGCGAGGGCGGGGAGGTGAGGGGAGGTGAGAGGAGGTGGGGAGGGGTGGAAGGGGGGTCTGAGAGATGAGGAGGGGCTGTATATATTTTGTTGCGAATGGGGGGTAAGGTTGAAGAGAGGCCCCGAATTGAATGTATCGCACCAGGAGCGGGCAAGTGTACAGTATGGAGATTGGAGGAGCGGAAACAGGGCGGAAACACCGGGAATGCGAGGCGGCGTGCATTCGTGTCCGCTACGTAATCTGAGCGAAAACATCGACTGGGAGCTTCTGCGTGCGCTCAGCTCCCAGTGTCGGCCGAGTGGCCACAGACACGCCGCCATCAGCATTCGTCCTTTTTCTTTCTACGTCATTCTTTCAATTTTATCGGAAATTCATTATTTCTTGGCATCCCTTCAGCCAACCACAGCCCGCCAGAGAGGGGCAACCTACCCAGGCATGAGAAAGGTGATGGGCTGTCATTTCTTCCCGCATGGCCACCTGCATGCGTGCGGCAACGCAGCAACGCAACATGCAACTAAGCGCCCCCCCCGATTCAATTCCAGACCCGCAGGCCCCTCACTTTCCCGATTCGCTGCTGGATGGTGAGAGGAACAGGCCGATGACCGCTGTCATGGCCGCCGCCCTACGAGATTCTTCTCATCGGCAGCATGGACCCCTCTTGTTGCGGACGCCAAGGAGGAGGCGGCCCGTCGGATTTTTTTTAAAATATTTTTCCTACGTGGCTTTAGAAGCTCCTGCACAGCTTTGGCATCTCGAAAAGTGACACATGCGGTACACACACGTATGCTACTTGCAACAATATAAAGGATTAGCTAACGCAGTCTCATCGACTGGATCCTCCATAATGTCAGTGACGCAGAGATTGCTGAGCTGCAGCAATTTGGGAGCGCTATCTCCGTAAGAGCTGTAAAAAATCAACATGATCATCACTGCATCTATCGTCTTTCTGTCTCAAAGCAAACTACGTCAGACGGCGAGCGGCGAGCGTTTGAAGTCCATTTCGCCGCTCCTGCCAGAGACGTACACATTATTGTAACAATTTGCGATTACTCTCTAGAGCTGCTACGACCCTGCAGAACATCATTTCTTTTGCTGAGACAAGGGATCAGTTCTTTTTGATCAAGAGGATAGTATTTGTACACGAGACCGCTTCGTCTCAGAGCTCAGATGGCCATCTACTGCACATACAGCATGGTACATCCGTTCAAATCAACATGCTACGTCGAAGTCAGCTCTACTGTAGTTTAAATGTGAAATAATTTTGACACGTCTGGCTACATGCTCTTTTCCAGCGATGCAGCAGGTCCTGGTCCTCGGTCCATTCCCGCGTTTTCCGCTCCTCTTGGGGTTGTCCTCGTCGATAACAGTTGTGACACCATCGTAATTTCCGTCGTGCTCTACGCATTGAAATGAACCGTCAGAGAGGTTCATTTCTAGATGTAACACAACATTAACAATATGGCAGCTCTGGATCTGAGGGGAGCCGCCGATGGGACCTTGTCTCTAGCCCTGCGACCACATCCTTGTTACGTGGTCTTCGTAGATACGGCTGAGAAGCAACATCCTAGCCCCGATTGTGCGTTACTTCCTCCGTGCCCTTTTCTTTAGATATGGGTCGTTATAAATCCCTTCTTGTAGCTCCAGTTTGGAGACGGCTCATGCTATTCGAATATCTGTTGGAACACAAGAGTATGTCGTGGCAGGGATGCCCGGCCCCTCAGGAGCTTGAGCATGATCTTGTCAAGACCCCTACTCATTTGCTTCGGCTGCTCAAACCTCAATTCGCGCCCGCGACTACTACTGTATAGTACAGCACAGAAAAGGTTCATTCCCTCTCTTTTAGTGGTGCTCATGCATACTGTAGACCTTGGATGGACACAAATCTGAAGAAGACGAGTAATTACAGTCCGTACACAAGTGTTACTGTTGTCCAACTCTCACAGGTATGCTACTGTACACTGTACTGTACACTGTACACTGTACAGTGCAACCTTCTGGACGTCCAATCATTGGCAACTAAAACATGTCACGATACTAACCAATCAGTACCTTTCAGAAACTTACACTGTCAATTGTATACCGAAACCAATAGAAAGGTTTTAAAATAAAGGGATATCGAATAGAAATGCTTCGTTGCATCTTTCAGAAGAATCACGCTGTCGCATTATCTAGAAGGAGCCTGAAGAGAATGCCTTTCTACCAACCGTCGCTACGAGTCGAGAACATCTTCCCATCGACCACCTTGGGTCAGTCTTGCCCAACTACGAACCAAGCCACCCACAAGGCGCTTCACGGTTTTCAAAACAAGCACCAAACTCTCCTCGAAGGTATCTACCCACGCGGGACAGTGGGCTGAGCCATGGCATCCTCAAGTGGCGCTTTCAAATCGAGGGAGGCGTGGAAAGCAGCCAAGGAGCTTGAGGAGGCTCGCAAAGCTGGGACCGCCCCACCCGCCATCGACGACGATGGGAAAATCATCAACCCTCACATACCGGAGTACATAGCTCAGGCTCCGTGGTATATAGACCAAGAAACACCCTCACTGAAGCACCAGCGAAATCAGAAAGCGCTCAAGAGAAATTTTGACCCCCTTGGCAAATGGCTCCCACGTGGGGAGACTGTAGGGCCCGCCGCGACAAAATACAGGAAGGGTGCATGTGAAAATTGTGGTGCGATGACACACAAGAAGAAAAATTGTCTCGAAAGGCCGCGACGGAGAGGTGCAAAGCTTACTGGGCGCAACATTCGCCCGGACGAGGCCATTGCCTCAGTTAACCTTGATTTTGCAGGAAAGAGGGATCGATGGAATGGATATGATGAAAGTACTGAGTACGATAAGGTCTTAGAGAGGTATGAAAAGATCGAAGCTGAGAGGCGGGCTCTGAAGGTGCAGAAGCTGGATGCGGAATTGCGCAATCGCTCAAAAAAGCAAAGACCTGGGAAAGGAAATTCAGATGAACTCTCTGATGGGGACGATTCAGACGACTCTGATTCAGATATGGAAAAAGATGGTGCTGTGGAGCAGGATGCTGGTCAGGGCTCGAAAATGGTTGTACGCAACTTGCGAATCCGCGAAGACACCGCGAAGTACCTGATCAACTTGAATACAGACTCGGCCTACTACGACCCCAAGTCAAGGGCGATGCGGGCAGATCCTAACCCGGATATTAACTCCGATGACAAGGACTACGCAGGTGACAATTTTGTGCGATACTCTGGGGATGTAACAAAACTTGCTCAAATGGAGTCGCACACGCTGAAGGCAGCAGAAGCAGGGAGAAATCTGCCGCACCTTCAAGCGGAGCCCTCTAGAGCAGAAGCTCTTTTCAAAGACTTTGAGGCCAAGAAGAAGGGGCTCGACAAACGGCGTCAAGATGAAATTCGGGAGAAATACGGCGGCCAGGAGTACGCGAAGCTAGATCCCGGAATTGAGGGCGTCCAACAAACTGAAGCTTATGTTGAGTTCAGCAGCGATGGAAGGGCTCTGAAAGGAGCCAGGGAGATAATACCAGTGAGCAAGTATCCAGAGGACATTCTTGAAAAGAATCATAATGCAATATGGGGCAGTTTCTACAAAGATGGAAACTGGGGCTACGGCTGCTGTCACTCCACGCAAAGGAACTGCTATTGCACCGGTGACGCTGGAAAGCAGGCTGCATTGGCCACTGAAGCAGACATGGCGAAGAGAACAGAAGCAGCGATAGCAAAAAGGAACCCAGAGCCGCTTACGAAGCAATGGGAAAAGCTCGAGAGGGAAAGGCAAGAGAATGCATTACCAGAGGAAGAAGCCTTAGAGAAGGAAAAGGAGCACCAAAATGAAGTTGCGAAGCAAATCCGCAAACAAGCGCATGAGGAGCGCATGATGGCAGAGCTTGACACGGCGAGGGGGAAGCACTCAAGAATAGGAGCAGATGACCCAGGGGGAATGTCCAAAGCAGCGAAGGAAGCATATCAGTTGCGAAAACAGATGAGAGATGACCCCATGGCTTCGTACATACCGGAGAAAGGAACTTGACAACCGGGTGCATGGTGGACAACTCGCTGCATGTTGACGAAAAAGGAGGAGTGCCTGAAATGCAAGACGCTGATATGAAATCAAACACGTCTGCCCATCTTGAGCTCTGTATACCAAGCTATTTATGTAGACACAAAATTAACTTCATTCACTGACTTTGCTGAATTAGAAAGTGCGGCGCTAAAGGGAGATTAGGTATGAAACTGGACGACAGCTTTACAAAGTGACATGGCTTTCAAGAATGCGTGTTGATCCTATGCATCGGTCATGGCAGTTGAGTCGGCTGGAGGCGCGTCCGCTGCTGGTTCGGTATCATCTGACTCGATGGCGGCGAGGTAGGGCTTGACTTCATCGTCTTCATAAATTGTAAACTTGGTCCCTTTGCCAACAATAGAAACGGCGGTATTTTCTGAGGTCAGCTCAGTGTCCTTCGATGAAGATACGGTTTCTCTCAATGCAATGACGGCATGCTTAGTGAGCTCTTCAAGAGAGCAATCTTTGTATTGCTCAAAAGTTCTTTCCAAATAAGTCTTCGCGCCCTGGCTCCGTGATCCGATTGCCATGGCCATGTACTCGTAGTAGTTACCACTTGGACATGTCTGGAAAAGGTGAGGGCCAGTCTGATCGTATCCTGCAATGAGGAGACCCACGCCGTAGGGCCTCTTGCTTGCGCGCTGTGTCGAAACCTGGCACTTATCCGCAACGGAGAGAGCGAGACGTGAGAGGGCCAGGGGTTCCTCATAGACATACTTATGGTTGAGGCATTCAGTGCGCATGAAACGGGAGAGTACGCGGGCATCGGCAGTCAACCCAGCAATTGCAACGCCAATGTGGTCGTCAATGACGGACAGCTTCTTTTGATGAGAGGCCAATTCTGAGGCGGAGCGTTTCAACGTCGCCATGACGACATGGGTGTTGGAGCGGAGCCCGACGACAGCAGACCCTTGCTTGACCGCTTCCATGGCGTACTCGACCTGATGAAGACGCCCTTGTGGACTGTACGTGGTAATGTCGGTGTCATACTGATTGCGAAACATCCTGATGAAGATCAAGGATCCCTACTTCGTAGCGCTGCGGGTGAGCGGTGTGGTTAACGCGGTTGGGAAGAAAGAAGGCAGATGAGAGATCGTCGAGGTCGAAAGCGGAAAAGCCGTCAAGAGATCGATTCAAATGCGGGGAGAATCGGCTTTGGGAATGTTCGATTGTCGGCTGCAACAGTCGCGGGGATCGATGGGGACGAGTAGGCATACCGGTATCCACGTTTCCCTTTCACTCACCAAGTTGAACTATGTTGGAAGCGGGAGCCACGTGTGTGTGTTATACACGTGTTTTCATATTTGAAGGACGAGTGGAATACAGTAACCCAATTACAGTATAATATACACGTGTACACCTGTGAAGTAATTCAAGTCTGCGCGTGGCCATGTATTAATTAAAACATAGACAGAAAAATTATAAAAATTATAAAAGGAAACAGAGGAGCGTGTAACAGTAGCCCAGTGGTGCAATTTGCGGGGCAGCATCCAAATGTTAAAATGTTACGTTGGGGTGTGACGAGGATCGTATGAGCGACTTGAAACGCCAAGTGTCATTGAGCGAGCGGACAAGTGCCAAGTCATCCGCTCATCTGTCGAGTATGAGGCCGGCGAGGGCTTGAATTTCGGCGAGTACGACCGTTTTGCGCGATTTTTCAAACTTTTCCGAGGCCAACACCAAGGTCTGGTGTTGGTACAATCGGTATCGGTATGCGTTCCGCCACTGCGAAGGGACCGTAGTCTCATCCTCTGTGCTAGCCGTCTTCGTTACGACAGAGTTTTCCGGTCGGAATATCCGCCGCGTGAACTTGTCGTTTCCATTCAACCCGGCAACTTGAATACAACACCATCATCCCGAACGTGCGCAACGAACTGCCCCAAACATTTGCTATGGACAAGTACACGCGCAAGACCAAACCTCGCACGGCAAGGTCGTCGCAACCCGGGGGGACTCCACTCTATCGTCTTCCCCCTTCACACAACGTCACTCCCGCACCACCTGCCCTCGTGGGTCCTGTTCTCCCGGCGCGCGTCTCGACACCCGATCACGTCTCTCCGCCTGCAACGCAGGAGCGAGATGAGCAAGTCTCTCGTCCCACGTCGACCTCCCTCTCGCAAAAACCGCGAAAGCGATTCCGCAAGAAAGTGAATGGCCTTTTCGGCGACCAAACTGACCTCAAAAGACGAATGTCTAAGCTTTTGCGCGAAACCGATACGACAGCCCTGCTTCGCGATGACGAATCAGACCTCACTCAAAGTAACTTACCGCATCAACCCGCGTTTCAGCCCCCCGTTGCCGTTCTTCCGTCTCCAGAGACAGTCGTGCGGAAACTGAATGAAGTGGCCAGAAGAAGCAAGTGCGTACCACCCGGCGAGAAAGCGCATCATACGACCTCAAGTCCATCTCATACCGTTGCAAAAGAAACCTCCTTGAACCCTAGTACAAGCTTGGATTCGTTTGATAGTCCGGAATTTGTCGCAACCGCCAGTCGCGCATTAGGGTCTCCAGCAAGGTTGCGTGCCGTGCTGAAGAGCATGGGTCGTCTCAGTCCAAGAAGCAATGAGCGTTTCATTGACGAACTGCAGTTAGGATTAACCCCAACCCCTGCGGCGTCGCAAGAGCAGGAATTCGAAAATGCAGTCTTGGAAGACATCACAGAGAAGATTGAGCCACCTGAGATACCGAGCGTCGACTCTTCCGAGCTGGAAACCGAAAACCGCCCCGCCTTGTTGTCGATGTCCCCGGTATCTGTTGAAAGAACAGCAGCGCCTGCCGTTTTACGCAGGAAGGTGCGACGACTGGACCGTGGATATCGGTCTGCCGACGTACTGCGCGCCCGGCTTCAAGGGTCGACACTTTCAGAGATAGCAGCATCACCAACCTCCCGAAGGCGTGGTGAAAAGGCAACAAGATGGCGTACAAAAATCCGAAGATTAGATTTGGGAGAAGGGGATGATGTTGTAGACAGCCATCAACCGAAACGACAGCGCTCCGCGGCTTCTCGTGTCGAAAGCCAAGAGGAATCAGATGGAATATACTCTGACGGTGCTCCTCCGAAAAAAAGAAAAGTGCGCGAGGAATCTGAGAGAGACGAACGCGCTGAAAATGAAGACACTTACAATGCCAGTGACCCCCTCGCGATCTTAGTCGATGCAGCAGCAGCGGAGGAACAGAAGCAGCGAAAGTTTGAGCGAGGAGGGAAAGACTCGTCAAGCAACCGGACGGAGGGTGGTACTGTTGGGGCGGGGCAGAAATCCTCAAAAGAACGCCGCCGGAAAAGGAAAAGTACCTCGCGGCAAAGAGTATTAGTGTCAGATTAGTTTTCCCCTAGCTTTCCTAGAGTTTTCCTAGAGGATGTTTAACTTGACAAAAACTGACTTGCGATCCATTGTATCTGTGTCCTCAACGTGCTGTGGTCACATATCTCTGAAGAATACCGAGGGACGAGGGCTGACATCCGTTTTCTCTCAGTCTTGCTCAAGCCACGGCCGGTGAGGACGTTTCCGACCAGCCATACCAGGTGGCACATTCACCGACGGCATCCGTTAGACCTCTGCTGGAGTATGCACTACATATTCTCTTAACAAGCCGATTTCCCAAAATTGTTCTGTGGTGTAAATCACTCCCCCTAGTTCTAAGATTTACACGCCCATCTCTCGTCCTGTCCACCGAGCACTGAACCATCGGATAACCTGTCCAGCAAACAAAAACCACACTGTACCAGCATCAATCAATCTACTACATGTATTACGTCCTTCTCCGTGGGAAGAGATGGACTTGTGGAAAGTCATGAGGATGGATATTCGAATCCGGAGGCCATTTTTGGAAAATAAGTCACTGCAGTTGAAAAAAAAGTCGAACGAAGATCGTTTCGCAGATCGCTTGCCATCACCTCCCCAATCCAGAAATGTTGCCATGCATAAACATAAGAAAGACCTAGCATGCACCCTGCGACGACGTCTAAGATATGATGCCTGCCGAGAGCCACTCGAGACATACAGATTGCCAGTCCCCAAACAATGGCAAACGCAGTAAAAATCGGGGACACAGCCCACGAAACAAGGCCGGCAGAGTAGTAGTACTGCGAATAACACACAAAGGATGACAGAAACCCGCCTCTTGTCGAGTGCCCAGAAGGGAAAGAGAATTGATCAACGGCGTGAAGTGTTACATGGCCAATGCCAGTATTGTAAACAGGGCGTGACCTTCGAAAGAGTGGCTTGAGAATGAGAATGACAAGAAGGTCTAGAACTGTAAGGGCTAGAAAATTGAGCATGAGGGCCGCCGAGGTTGCCGAGAGGTGGGTTTTGCAAAGGAAAAGCAGTATGGGGATAGCTAGCCAAGGAACGCCGTGGCCACTAACCTCCAAAGCGAGTAGAGGAATTCGTGTCACAATGTTCATGGCGTACCAGCGATATACCATATACGATGCGTCTTTGTCCCATTGCAGCAGCTTGGAGAAGGACGAAGTACGAGTCGGGGCCATCCCTTCACGTGGAGAGCAATCCCCTACCGTGACCGTCGTAGAGTTGGGCTGGGCTGCAGTGCTCAGCATGTAATAGCTTGAATGCCGTACAGTGTAATAGGAATGATAAGAGGTGGAGACCGTACAGACCGAAGCTGCTCTCAAGAATCGTTTTCGATGTACGGATATCGTATTTGCCATACGACGCGAATCTTTCGTCCGGTGTGGCACTGTAGCGCAAGAAAATAGCTCAACATGGCATCACAGACGTGATTCGCACAAGAGCACAGCGGAGTAATCGTTAGAATCTAAAATCATGGCTGATTCTGCATGGGCCACCATGCGTCAAGACTACAACGCGTGACGACCTATCTGTGTGGGTTTATTTAGTCGCACGTTCTACGTCTCCGTTCTAACGGTATCGGCGATGCGCTGCTCATTAGTCTACAGGCTTTCTCGCGTGCCCGTGACGTTGCTCTGACGATGAAATTCACCGACTTTGCACTCCGGGACACCATAAGACGCAGAATGAGGGTCCCCCCTTTAGGCCGGGGTTACAGTAGGAGGCCCGGCGGCTGGGTGTGTGTTAATTGGAACCAGCAGATCCTAATTTCAGTTTTTTAACAGTTTCTTTGCAGTTTCTGCTTAAGAAATCTCTCTACTGTTGTACCACTCGGGGACACAGTGTACACAACGCTTCGAGGATGCACTGCTGGTGGCAGCAGTGGCCTGGCACCAGGCAAGATCCAGCGCATGAACCTTGACTTCCCCACGCAACTCTTGTATGGGCTCCAGCACGACCCGTCGGACATGCAGGGCAATGCTTGCGGAACCGTCATTGCCGAGCTCAACAGCTCAGGGATAGGTTTTTAAGTTCACAGCGACGGGGATGTTAACTCTTTAAATCCCAGTGGCGGGCACGGAACTAGAGAGGTGAGCCAGTATATCGAGAGGGCTTTCATGAGGCAAGTGGCAGTAGGTACCAGACTGGGCAGTGGGCTTCCTTATAAACTATCAGAGCCGCGTTTTCGATGGGGTAGGAACCTGACCACTCCCCATTAAGGTAACGCAAACTGTACTTCATTGCCATGATCACATATGCTTCTTTTTGTACATGTGGCCATGGGGCAATGCGAGTTAGTAGGGCAAGTTCGAACAAGGTAGAAAAAAGTTTATTTGATTTCGCTACTTGTGTGGAGGTCTCGGAAAGTCATTTGCAGGTGCTGGGAAGTTGGGTGGAGGCGTCTCCGGGACAAAGGATGACTGCGGGTAGTTGTATGCACCTGGGGGATAAATTATTGGAGCAGAGGGATACATCTGGGAGTTTGGCCCTGTTGGATATTGGAGCGGTTGGCCCTGAATACTTGACGATGGATGCGCGTTTCCCATCCCAGCCCATTGCGGGGAGTATGTCGATGGAGGGATTGGGGTACCTTGGAACTGCGTAGGAGGCTGGTTGTAGGGTAGAAAACCATTCGGGGCGGGGAATGGTACTCTCCCTCCAGGATATGGACCATGCGGCACCATCGCTGAATTAGGGGATCCTTGATACGTTTGCCCCCCATTGACCCATGGGGCTCCCGGTTGGTGCATTAGGGCTGAGGGCGTGTACATGCTGTTGGAATAAGCATTGTTAGGTGCGACTCTCGCATTCCCATGTCTCATTGCATTTGGGGGATGGACCGCATTCACCATTCTATTCTCGAACTCATTGCCACGTTGCCCTCCCCAGCTTCCATGGTTCGGTTGTCCTCGATGGAAGGCTCCGTTACTAGCTGCAGCTCCGGTCGCGCTCATACTCATGTGAGGAGCTGTCGGTCCTAGATTTGGGTTAAAGCCGTCCCCTCCACGGCCAGGTACATACGCAGATTGCGACCTCGTCCTCCAACCTTGTTTTTCATTCTGAAGACGCTGCCTCGGCATAAACCTCTTCGGTGTCACTGCGCCCCGTTGTATAGATTTCGCTGATAGAGATGTGGGCAACCCCCCTTGCCTCGCACGCTTGCGACTACGGCGGGCCTCGGCCTCGGCCTCGTCATCAGAAAACTCCTTATTTCCGACTTCCTCGTCAAAAAAGTTGCTCGAGTCGTACCCTTTTATGTGGACATCCTTTGCACGAACAGTTTTTGAAAGCTCCGGCACGTAGAACACATCCCGTCCCACTTTAGCGTTCACTTCGGAAATTTCTTCTTCGTTGTTGAAACGAATAATGTAATACGGAGACCTCACTTGGCCGAAGGTCTCGAATATCTCACCGAGGACAGTTCTATCGCCGAAGCACACAATCGAACCAGAGTCAAGCGCAGATGCCTCTGCGATATCCCGTTCGCTTTCAACACAAGGCATACCGGAGGACTTCGCCTTCTCAGCTTCTGTGCTCATGATGATGACCGTCTTATCCATTACCCCTGAGACCTTCCCGAGCGCTAGAAGCTTGTGCGCTGCAGTCACTTGTATTGTAGGTTTTTTTATCTCAATGTCATTCACATTTTGCTCATTTTTTGTTCGCAGTGCGGCCTTGTCCATTGGTCCTTCGTCATCCTTCATCATCAAAGCCGTGGTCGCAATGACGACCTCAGCTGATGAAGGACTAGATGAATCACTCTCAAGAGTTGATGAGCCACTCTCTGAACCTTCGCTGCTGCTCGATTGCGATTCAGAGGATGGAATTGATTTGTCGGAGGGGCTCTTGAGGGTCTTCCCATTGTGAATGTTTTCAGGTGACTTCTTGGGGGATTGCGAGTCCTTCGTGTTCATTTGTTCATCTTTCATGCAAGCTTGCTCAGGCACATCTCCTTGTCGTTCACTTGGATGGCTTGAGACAGCTTTGAAACCCTCAAGATTTTGCTTTGCTTTGCCCGCAACTTCCAAGGGCTTTGAGTCCACTCGCTCTTCTTCCCTGAGCAATTGTTGCGGAGGGCAATTGGATTGCTTGTCCGAGTTATTTGCCAGTCGATCCTTATCCTCGACAGCTTTCTGTGACTTTATCTCGGACTGTAATTTCTCGGACTTGGACTCTAAACGTAGAGATTCAACTTCCTTCAAATCTCCCTGACCTTGCTTTTCGGGTATTCGCTTCGCAGCGCAGTCTTGTTTTGTGACGGAGGTACGTTCAAACTGATCACGTTTTTGGACAGGCTCCTCAGACTTCCGAGCAGAGTCCAATTTGCCGGCCTTTACTAGCGTTTCTGTCTCAAAAGATCTCTCGGGCTTATCGCTTCGCAAACGTGGAGTTGTCATTGAAGTCAACTCAGAACACCTGAATGACGATTCGTGACGTTCTTCTTGTGCCGCTTCATGCACGCTCTCTAGAGGGAGCGGTTTGCTCTCGGGTTTAACTGCAAGTCGGTCCAAGGCGTGGGCTTCCGCTGCATTCTTGGCGCAATCAGCAGGCTTTGATTCCCGATAAGTTTGGAGGGGCTTGGAATCTCCTCGTCCTTCATTCTCAGGCGCTTTCTCTGAAATATCAAAACGACGTGGTACCTCCATGGTTGCAGCCAACTCTGGCGACCTGCGTGGCGATCCCTTAGTCCCTTCGAGAACCTTTTCTTCCGTCGTAATTACAATGGCTGCTGTATCCTGTGAGCAATGCGCCGCAGCGCTTGGAATGCCGTCTATTCCGAACGTATCGTCGGCTTTTAATTTTTGTTCAGGAGAGAGCACGCTTGGTGACGCCGGGAGTACTGACGTAGTTGGCGGTACTTGTTCATCGACATGTTTTGTGTCCTGCTTGGAATGGTCCTCTGAATCAATGGTAGTGACTTTCACATCACTGCGAATGGGCAGGACGGGGGTACTATTTCGCTCGCTCATGGAGTCCCGAAACGTAAAAGCTGGATGTGTTTCTTCTACGAACTTGGCTTCAATTGAGATGGCACTTGCTCAATGTCGTTCACCCTCAAAGGGCAATAACCATGCGATCTCTCAGAGAAATAGCCTCGCCGGAAGCTGAGGTGAAAACCTCTTTTCTTGTTGTTGCAACTTCACTGCTGCTAGAGATGGCTTCTCCCTCTTCGATAATGCTCGAGCACCGCAAAACCTTATTTCCTCCAGACGAGGGCCGTTCTTCTCGGCAATGAAACGGAAAGCCAGAGAAGTATTTGCACATGCAAGCTCAAAGCTATGCTAAAATGCTTAGGGGCAGCTGCGTCAATTCTACCGCCAACGTCCCACGGCCGAGCACCGCCGTTGCAAAGATCAAAACGGCTAAAAGGCTAAAACAGCGTCGTGAAGCCAAAAGTCTGACGTCCTTAAAAAACATCCAATGAAAAGTCAGTGGATCGAACAACCAATGAGAAGTCAGACCGCTCCAGGATCACTGTGCACATACTTATGATCTTCCGATTTGCCGTCTACGGCAAAGCTTGTCACGGGTGATGCGTTCATGGGATAGGATACGGCGTCATCGTGAGGCATGCAGTGGAGCTCGAGTCGCATCTTGCTCCGGATATCCGAGGGACGGGCAAGGGAGCGGTTTCTCCAAGTCGGAAAACCCCTGTAGCGAACCATTCCCATGGGCGAGTCATCTTCCTCATTCATCCCTATGTTGCCTCGATGGCGCCTGCCTCTCATGGCGCCCTCTCAGGCCCGTCAAATACGGCATCGTATGTGCACATCCTCATCTGACGGGGCAAGATCTCTGAGTCGCCTGCGGGAAATGCAGCGTTCTATCCTGCAGAGGCGCTCGAAACTTCAGGACAAGCATCCACCGGGGCCACCTAAAGACGAGGCCAAGGAGCTCGCCGAAGCCCTTTTTCCGAACGCAAGTATGCAAGCTGCAAACAAAGCTGGCGTCGAAGCAGACTCGGCATATCAGGATGACGTTAAAAGAGAAACTTTGGGTCCCCTTGGAATTGAAGAAGAGAACAAACGAGACGTACTACCAGAGAAGACCTCAACTGTACACGATGAGAATTGCACGGAGCTGCTGAGTAGCAATCCTGCAGAAGAACTTGCGGAAGATTTCGGTCCCGTAATACATGAATGGGGAAGGGGCGAGCCCACAGGTATGCGGGAAGTACAGGGAAGTTGGCGGGTCACAGCATCTACGCGAAAAAGGCCGTCTGAATCAGTAGGCCTCGGCAACGCACTTTCCACCCAGGCTAGAGACGACGACGAACCTTCATCTTCAGCCCTAGGGCCGATTACTACGATCAGGAGGAGTAGTTTCACGCCAAAGGAAAACAGTCATGGTGATACTTTGCAAGGAAACGTGTCAAAGAGGCCCAGAAGCCGTCCGGATGTGCTTGTGAGACCTGAAGTGGGTGGCGATGCTACTTCTAGCACGAATGCAGAGCTATCCCCTATGGATGCCAGCATTAATATGTTGAGCCACATTTCCTTGACGAGAGGGAATGGGCGCCTGCCGTGGAAATCCGACAATTTACGTGACACGGCACAGCTATCAATTGAAACAGAAGTTGTCCGGCTCCCATTCCTATCCTTGTACACGAATGGACCTTCCTTTCAACGAAAGGAATGGAAACTACCGCGACCAGGTTTCAGGCAAATCAAATTTGCAAACAGTTCAGCAACCGAAAACCTGAACAATAGTGACTGCAGTCCTATATTAGAAAGTCTCAACGAATACCAACGACATGCTGTCATATCAGATCCGAATCAGGCGTGCCTTGTTCTCGCCGGACCAGGTTCCGGTAAGACGAGAGTTTTGACGCACAGAGTTGCGTATCTGGTGAAAAAGCACAATGTTTCACCATATCGAATTTTGGCAGTAACATTTACGAATAAGGCCGCGGAAGAGATGAAGAAACGGGTTGCGGAGCTGTTGGGAATCAAATTTTCTCCAGCATGGGCACAGGACGGCGGTCCTCGCCTTGCATTGGGCACTTTTCACTCTATTTCCGCTCGCATCCTTCGAAAACACGGCTCTGAAACGGGAATTACTTCTGACTTTGTGATTTGCGACACATCAGACACTCGGCAACTCATTTCGCGATTACTAAAGAACGAGCAAGGTTCTACCCCTGATTATTCAAGTATCAGCGAGGCTGTAGCAGCAATCTCAAAGCTCAAGAACGACCGAGATGGTCAACTAGAAAAGTTTTGGCCACGCCGAGTGTGGAGACGCATTAATGAGTTACGAAATCTTTACGACAAAGAGCTAAGGGCCATGAATCACCTCGATTTTGACGACCTTCTGTTGGAGACCAGGAAACTTCTTCAAACGTCGGAAAGAGTTCGTGGGACTCTTCAAGAGACGTACGAACATGTTCTTGTTGATGAGTGGCAAGACACGAACCATGTCCAGTTCGACATCGTATCTCTTCTGTCTGCGAAACATGAGAATCTTTTCGTCGTTGGGGATGCGGACCAGTCTATATACAAGTTTCGAGGGGCTGATAGCGGAAATTTGGAGCGCTTCATGGAAGAGTTTCCCAACGCAGCAAAGATCGCGTTAGAGGAAAACTATAGGTCATCCGGATGTATTGTCGCAGCCGCCCAAGCTGTGATCGAGGGCAACACTGACCGACCGTCGAAAAAAATGACGACTGTCAACGACTTTGGGGCCAAAGTTATTCTCCGTGAAACACTAGATGACAGACAAGAATCGCAATATGTTGTATCAACAGTGAAGAGTCTCCTGCGGGAAAATTCTCTGAGGTCGTATTCCGATGTGGCTATTTTGTATCGTACAAACGCACAGTCTAGGTTAATAGAAGAAGCTTTCATCCAAAATGATATCCCATACCGACTCCTGTCAGGTACAAAGTTCTATGATCGACAAGAAATAAGAGACTTAGTCGCTTATCTTCGTGTATTGTCGAATCCAGCCGACGATACAGCCTTCAGACGAATTGTGAACACCCCTCCGCGGGGGATCGGCAAGAAGACGCAGGAAGAATTCGAACAGTTTTGCTTGGAGAGGCAAGTGCCTCTCGTTCTGGGGCTCAGTGAGTTACTTAAGCTATACACAAATGGGGACGTGAGCGATGGCGCAATCGGAATGGGAAGGGCTGCTACGCAGAAGCTTGCAGGTTTCGCGGACATGCTGAGCAAACTGCAAAAAAGGTCTGAATCATTTCTTTCCGACGAGGAACCCAGTCCAGGGAGTGATTGCGTCGACACGTTGCTCACGGCCATCATCGAGGAGGTTGGCTACCGTGATTACGTTGAGAAACGAGAGGGAAATGGCTCTGCGGCATCTGAAAAGGTGTTAGAGAGGCTTGGGAACATTGAAGAGCTTGTTCGTGCGTCCTCGCGGTTTAGTAGCCTGCATCGATATCTTGAAGGAGTGACTCTCATGGTTGATACCATGCACAAAGGAGCAGGGAACGCCGATAATGGTTCCTCTGACAGAGCTTCTGCTTCACTGATGACGTTGCACGGCGGTAAGGGCCTAGAATTTGGAGCTGTTTTCATTATTGGCGCAGAGGACAGTGTGATTCCTATCTCGCGAGGAGCAAAGGGGGACATTGAAGAAGAACGCAGATTACTATACGTGGGAATGACAAGAGCGAAGGAACACCTTCAAATCACATGGAGGGCTAAAAAACTAGTTTTGCAAGGTGGAAAGGCCTTCTCCCGTGAAAGTTCGGGGCCATCTCGATTCCTTGACGACATTCCAGCTGAACTAGTAACTCGTATTGTGACGCCATCGTCCAGTAACAGACGTTCAAATCACACACACAGCCCGGCCCGGCGTCGCGGGAAACACAAAACGGGCCGCTTGTCGTCTCAGCTGGCTTCTTTGTCTCTCGAAGTGGAAGGCCCTGTCACTCAATGGCGAGCAGGGGATTCAGTACGCTGCGGCGAGCATGGAAGGGGCACAGTAACCATTGGAGGACCTGCAACTGAGGGAGGTGCATGGATTGAGGTCATGTTCGCTGACGGATCACGGCACTTTGTCAACACAATTGCCCAAAATGTGGAGTTGTTATACACACCATCGTCATGAATGTGGCAGTGTATCGCGGCGCGACAGCAGACTACACTGAAGCTCATTCACACTCTGTGGAAGGGTTGGGAGCAGCTATCGTCTCTTCTTTCGAATAGTGTTGAACAGTTTGAGCTCCTTTCTTCTAGCGCCGTCGAGATTTCGTTTTTGCCAATTGCTCTTCTTAAGCTTAACCGGGCGACTGCCAACGTACTTCCCGTTCATTTCCCGGAGTGCGGCAATCATATCTTCTCCCGCCGCAAAGCTAACAAAACCGTAACCCTTGCATTGTCCCGAGCGTTTGTCCTGCACCACGCGCGCCATATTAAACGAGGGATACGCCGAGAACGCCATGACAAGCTCTTCGTTGGTAGCATCTGGAGCGAGATCCCCGACGAAAATGCGGTGGTCGTTCTCAGGCCATTCTGCAAGGGAATGGTCCTGCCAGACATCACCAGCCGCCGTCCTTTTGACCAACGCGGCTGCCTTCTTAGAAGGTACGGCTGTGGGGGGTGCAGACATATGCAAAGACGGATTGGAGTAGGGGTATGCGGTTGCATGGGACGGCACCGGTCGGGAGGGGAAAGCCGCTGGGGCGGGACGTGGTGTGGTAGTGGAGGAAGTGGGTTCGTAGGTGACCCAATTCCACTTTGCATTGGCTCCGTCCCACTTCCACTTGCCGGTTAGAGGCGCGGTTTTGTTGTTAGTGGCAAGTACAGGCGTCGGGGACGTGGCGGGGACGTGACTATGGGTGGTGGTTGCAGGAGACGTACGGGTTGCGGCGTTGCGATTGCTACGAGCTGTCACGTTGTCGCCGGTTGGAACTGGTGCTGATGATGGCAGTACAGAGGGTTGGGGCTTGGAGACAACGGTTTGAAGTTGAGCCTCAAACTGCGCAAACTCAGCATCAAGATCCGGGTCTTCGTCCACAGACATTGCAGAGAGTGATGGCGCCAGGAAGCGGTGCTGGGCTTGGCGGAGAGGGTCAACAACGAGGATGATGAGTTGCCGAGGACCAACGCACATACAAGCATGTGTGCCATACGTGTAGCTTCCAAAAATAGTATTGCTGCGGATGCGATCAAGTGAAGCGAAAGAGTCTGCAAGCGCGGAAATTTGTGGAACATAGAGGCGCAGGCAAAAGGTTACCGAGAATGACACAGGATACTGGCTGTTTGTGCTGATTGCGCGAAGAGTGGCCGCTGTCGGCGGGGCATAGACGCCACGAATTGACAAACGAAGCGCCGAATGGAATTGTCGGAGAATTGGTTGGTTATTCTGCGACGCGCTTGCGGCGGCGGGGAGACCTGCCAAGTGTCCCACACCCAGTCGCCAACCGGTTTGCCAACGGTCGCCGCCCCTCCGGAGCGAGCCAATTGCTGCGGCGCAGGCAGACCGATCCCATTAGATTTCCTTTGACGTATGACAACACTCGCCGCCGCCGCCTCCATCGCTGCGTCCGCTTCTTGCCACTCACACGCCGCCCGTACTTGCCATTAACCCCGCCCCCTTTTGGCTTCCGGCCGTGCTGTCCTCTTGTTCCGCGCCCGTTGTCCACCAACTCCTTCCGCCTCCCGACCCCCTCACTACTGCCGTCGTCTCATGCGAACGTCCGGGACTCACACCATCGTCGTCTACGGCGCCCTGTTCTCCCTCTTCCGGGTGCTCTCTCCCTAATATGCCCTCCGTCGCTGCAGCAGAGTCCCCTTCCGACCTCTCTGCTACGCTGTCATCGGTTTCATTGAATACCCCCAATGTCCACGCGCCCCTTCCCCTGCCAACCGCAAGTGCCGAGCAAACATCCTCGAGTGCTTCAATACTGTCCCCATTCCCTCCCATCTCATCAGTCGACGCGTACGCAATGATGTCCAACACACAGCATCCCCAGTTTGTCCCTCAATTCACTCCGTCGGAAGAAGATGCTTCGCGTATGACCTTTCTCACAAGCCCCACCCCATGGTCATCGCTCGCAATTGATTCGAATACCCTACAATCTAACCCCTCAATTTCTCCAGTTTACGTCCCGCACCGCCCACATCCCGCCCGTCCCGTTCTGAATGACCCTTGGGCCAATTCCGGGGTATGGAGACCGCCACCGAGAAATCCACCAACCCATCCTGCGGCGGTTTCCAGTCCGCAGTCTAGCTTTCCGAACGGCAGTCGGCACCTCAAGCAAAATGGGCAGCTACACTACTCAAGCGCCCACCCCCAAGAGCACATTCCCATCTCCAACCCTATGTATTCTACCAACTTCGGTGGGGAAAGGTTTCAAGATCCAAATGCCAGCCGTCGAAGGCGTCGCAATCCCGCATCCACAAACCATTCTGACCCTACGTCCATAGGTATTTTCTCTACAGCAACTAGAAATAATAACCAGGAATCTTCCCGTGACCGCAAAACACACTCGCAAGGGAGTAGTGGCACTGGCCACAGTTCTGGCCATACCGGTATGTCCTCAGGGCGCTCCCATACGGGCAGTGGCGGTCCAGGCGGTGGCGGGCGGGGGGGCTCACAAGGCGGGAATAGCCACCTTTCAGTCCGCGACTACAATCGTCGCATTTCTAACTATGCCCGAAGGAGAGATTTAAACGGGGCCCTCCGTACCTTGGATGAACTCGATCGCACACCAAAAGTTTCGCGCAACTTGTTCACGTACAACGCAGTCATCAACGCACTAGTGATGTGCTCGCAGCATGCCAGAGCAGATGAGTTTTGGCGTGAGATGCAGGATTCGGGCATCGAACCGAACTTGGTCACTTTTAACACCATGCTGAAGAGCTGCTTTGGCGGCATGGATGAAGATGTGAACAGGGCATTTCGGTTTCTCACAGAAATGGAAGATCGTGGAATCAGTGCAGATCGGGTCACGCTCAATTCACTGATTAATGCCTGCGTGTCGGCGGGCAGAGTGCGCGACGCACAAGAGGTTTACGAAAAAATGCGACAGCTTGATATCGAGCCAGATGCGTACACATTCTGTACCCTCGCGAAACAGGCACGTCACCAATGCGACGTCTCAATGCTGGACGCCCTTTTGCTTCATCAGCTGCACCATCACACCATTCTGCAACAACGTAGCGACTCCGACAATGAAGACCCTGATCTTGCTCTCCAGATATCTCCTGTTGCATACAACACCATCGCAGATGCGTACATTCGCTGCGGATACCCTGCTCGTGCGATTAACCTGCTTGAGAAAATGCGTGACGGTCGTGGCAAGCCCGACGATAGCCGTCCAACGCTCCCAACTCCGAAGGATACCATTCCCGTGTCTCCGGACGTACAAACCTTCAATGTGAGGCTGAAGGCACTTCGAGAGGCGGGCGCTCCGTCATCTGACGCTTTCGCAACATTAGAGGAAATGAAAACACTCGAACTCGAAGCAGACCATATCACATTGCTGACACTTGCTGATTTATGCTGCCGTCGAGAAGATATGGCTCTAGCCGAAGGTGTTCTTCGGGCTGCAACTAATGCAGATGTGAAAGAATTTGAAAAGGGCTCACAAGAATGGAAGAATCTGTGTAATGGGCATCAGTCGTTTCGTCAGCAAACAGGTGGTGGGCGGAGCAGGACTGGAAATAGCGCGTATGGAATGTCTCATGCGAAGAGAAACACAAACACAGGCAATCACATGCAATCCCATCACACTTCAAACCGCCGTAACGCAAACCAGCCGCGAAATGCGAAAGCGAATGCAGCGTTGTTCAACGCTCTAATCCGGGGATATTCCTCATTGGACCCGCCGAACGTTGATGCCGCAGTGGCATTGTATGAAGAAATGAGGCGATTCGTTGACAAGTATGGATTCTCATGGTATTCCGCTGACTCTGTGACATACACGATGCTAGTCGATGCTTTCGCTCGAGTTGGGGATGCGGAGCAGGCAGAAAAGATAATATGTGAGATGGAATCCGCTGGAAGGTCGAACGTCGTTGCATACAACGCCTATCTGAAGGCCAACCGTGGGAACGGATTTAAAGCGGCACTCTCAGTCCTAGACCGAATGAAGAAGGCAGGACTTCGTCCCGATGTTGTGACTTACAACACGGTGATCGATTTCTTGAGCGCTGAGGAAAATGGCACGCAAATTGCCGAAGGCCTTGTCCGCGTAGATATGCCAAGAAATGGGGTGCGACCAGACCTTCTGACCTTCAACACGCTGATCAAAGGGGTGGCACGAAACAGAGGCAACAAGTGTGATGCCAGTACTGCGTTGGGGGCTGCCTACCGATGGCTCCGTGAGCTTCAGGCAAGAGGCCTGAAGCCTGATGAGTTCACGTATCAAAGTATGGTCAGTGCATGTGCAGCTGCCGGTGATGCCCCTCGCGCACTCGAGTTCTTTCGAAAGGTAGAGGCTGAGCGAGCGAAACGAGTGTCATCTCATGGGCGTTCGTCGGCTTTCTCTACTAATTTTTCCGGTCACAATTCACTCCGTACTCGGTACACATATAGCAATGGTGTGTCTCCTGCGCACACCCTCCTTCCACGGCATGTACCTAGTTCGCCATCATCGAATCTCGGAATAAGCCGCAGCCTACCGGTGCACTCACAGTTTTCTGGTCACGGAGATCAAACCTCTGCTGATTGGATGCTCCTGCCGCATCCAGCAGCTTACATCGCTCTCATGCGAGCATTCCTCTCTTCAAACGCCAAAGACGGTGTCGATTCTGTCTTGCTCTTACGGGATGAAATGATTGCAAGAGGTCTTGAGCTGGGCAGGACAGGATACACCGCTGTGGCAGATGCATACGCCGAGAGAGGTGACTTCTCTAGTGTCGAGGCTACTCTTCAAGAAATGCGCCACCGGGAAGGACTCCTTCCGGATCAGAAGTTTAGCCCAGTACATCATTGCATTCGAATGAAGGCTCTCTGTAATGCTGGCCGTCTTGACGATGCAATCGCGATTCTCCCGGAAGTTGAAAATGCGGACACTGCCGTGTTTAATGTCTTAATTTTTGCTTGTGCCAAGAATCGCGACATGCACAGGATGATATCCGTTCTGAGATCCATGGAAGCTCGCCAGATAGAGCCGGACGCAATTACGAGCCGTGCGATGAGCAGCATGATGAAGAACATCGCTAGGACCTTGAGAACTTTTAACGCCCAGTTCTATAACAAAGTCGCCGCATTCACCAAAGCCGCCGCAAATGGACATGCTGACGGGTATATTCGTGATGTGCCTGAAGTATGAGTCAGTTTTGCACTCCAGCTGGCACAGTTTGTTATTCTGAAATGGTGTGAAACGGGGAGCTACGCAATTGACGGAACGCAAGTTTCCTTTGCTTATCGTCGAAATCTATTTATCTCTATATCAACGGGCCTTGAAGTGAACCCGTTCGAAGTCATAATCGCGATTATCGTTTAGCGTAACCCGCATGTAGTCGGACTTATTTCGGCCACGATTTTGCTGAAACTCAATATAAACTCAAGCTTATCTTTGCAACTATAAATCCGCAGTCTACTGACCGAGTGCCCTGTTACGCTTCAATGTTATCATCAAGAATTAGTTATTCTGAGAGAAGGAATACTGGTGTGCCAGGCACTGCATCAGCCGACGATGCCGTGTTTGGGGCATTTGCAGCTTCGTCCACTATCACATTTTGAATGCCAAACGTCTCCAGTTGAGAATTCACAAATTGGGCGTTTTCGCGGAGTACGCGCGTCTCATCAAACTTTAGGGCACGGTCGAGGCCCCCACGACCTCCCAACTCGACTTCTTTCCTCACCATTGCCAGGTAGGGCATCAGCTTTTTATTCTTCTTCAGCTCTGGGGGCATAGCAGCCGCCACCTTCTTTGGTGTGTCCGAAGGGTATTTCCACCATGTCTTCTCGTCGCCAGGACTGGCCTTTCGAGAATTCTCCCAAGCCTCCTCATCAAAATTCTCTCGCAGAAAAGAGAGCACGATTTCTTGCCACTCAGGGACCTCCTTACAAACAAAAATAGTTACTTTGGAGGGTTTAGTCGTTGTTAGGTTGCCCTTCCCCTTCTTCTTCTTGGCAGGCTTCAGAATGGCAACTCGAATTCGAGATATCGTTTCATTCAAATATCCAGCTGAAGCGAGGAGCGATTCATCCGCAACCTCGGAAGCCGGCCATTGTAGATGCATGACCGACTCCGGTTGAGACACGCCATCGCGCTCACTGAGAATCGGGCGAAGGAGTCCCCACATATGCTCAGCCGTGTGAGGACAGATTGGAGCCAGAGTTGCCGTTTGAAACAATGCGAAACGGAGGAACACATCCCGGTGCATTCTGGGGAGCGTTGATGCCATTCGAGAAGACTTATCAGCCCCGACAGCTTCTCGATACCTCCCCCAGTCAGTAATGATTTCGAAAAAGCCGCACTTGACTGCTTCCCGAAACATTAACTGCTCATACGCGCGTTCAGTAGCTTGCAGCTGTCGGTTCAGCTGTGCAACAAATACCCTGTCTGCAAATCTTGTCAAGGGCCCAGTCCGCATTTTTTTAACGTTCTCGACACCTTCCTCAATTAGATCCACAAGTGTCCATAGCCTCAGTATAGTGTCATCGGCTTGCTTCTTGGAAAAATTTGCATCTTCAACCGTGTCCGCAGCATCAGCTAACGCAAATCGAACACCATCCGCAGTGAATTGTCCCATTGCATCTCTGAGAGTAAGGAAGTTTCCAGTGCTCTTCGACATCTTCTCTGCATCCAACATAACGTGTCCATTTACACGAATGCCTTTTGGCCAATTCTCTTCCGGGAAAATGGCGACGTGATTGTAGATGAAGAAGGTCAGGTGGTTGCCAATCAGATCCTTCCCGGACACACGAAGATCAACAGGATACCAATACGAAAACTCTCTTCTCATTCTCCGCACTGTCTCCGAGTCCAAACCATTGAGATTTTCAGGACTGCCTTGTCCTAACATGACGTAGTCCCAAAGAGCATCGTTCACAGCTGACGCAGGTATTCCTCCAGGCCCCGTCTTATGGCCATCGAGGTTGTCCGGCCCGCCCTGTAAAATATGCGCAACTGTGTAGAATGCCATGTAGATCGTAGAATCTGACAGAGACTCAATCAGCCAGTTTTCATCCCAAGGCAACTTCGTCCCCAAGCCAAACTGGCGAGAGCATGCCCACTCTTTCAACCACCCAAGAACAGCATCGAACGCGTTGGCAGTCTCGTCGGCGTAGACGTTCATCTTCTTGAGGCACTGGACTACCTGTGCACGCCAAGAGGGTTCGCCATACTCTAAGTACCACTGATCACAGAGAGCGACAACACATTCATCTCCGCTTCTACTCATAACTTTGCCTTCTGGCTCGGAATATACCCTGGCCTGGTTAGAGGACAAAAGCTGTTCGCGAATTTTTGCCTTTGCCTGCATCACAGGTTCGCCGGCCATATCACCCACGATCATCACACCATTGTAGAAGCCAGCCTTGTAGACTTCTTCTTTGGCCCGAGCCAGAGGTTCCCTGTCGTTCTGACTGCGGATCTTGTGGCGCTTGCAGGCTTCCACAGCTGCCAGATTCCCAAAGCCTGGGGTATCAATGATGGGAATAGGTTCAAATGGCAACACCCATTCCTCCTGAACGTCGAACTTGGCTCTTAGGGCTTCTTTCTCCTTTAAATCCATCAGTCCTCGATAATCGTCTGGGGCATCGCTTGGCACGGATGTGACGATTCCAGTTCCTTTCGTCATGCTAACAGTGAGCAGTGGGAGAATGTAGATTTCATCATAATGGGCCAGCGGGGCCTTAATGGGCAACCCAATGAGGTCTGAACCCTTCAGAGTACAGATTTCCTTTGCTTTCCCGAACTCCTCGAAAAAGTCTTGGTGAGCCATATTTCTTCCTGAATGCGCAGAAGCGATGAAAACCTCACCATTCGCTAGCTCATATCCCACGTAGTCACCAGTAGGTAGTACCCAACAATTTGTTTGGCCATACATTGTTTCAGCACGTAACGTTGCGGCAGGAACAAACACGTCCTTGCCGGCAAATAGTTCCTCCGCATTCGGGATATCGGGATTCCTTAGAAGCTTCATTTTGATAAGCGTGTACTCCTGTGGTTGAATACCCTCGCCAGATGCCCGATCGTGATCCGCGCACGGTTGTCCATCAGTGGGCGAAAAGACAGCATTTCGCTTCCCAAACTTGATTTTGTTATGTGCACGCAATTTGTTAAACTGCCATCGAATGAAAGAATCGTAGTATGGGTTGACCTCGGTCGTGATAAACGAACGCCGCCAATCCACTTTCAGACCAAACTTCGTGAGATCTTGAACGTTCTGAAGGGGGAAATAATCAAGCCACGCTAGCGGATCAGCGAAGCTCGGCAGGATGTCCTCAGAAATTCCGCTTTCTTTGAGGATGTCCCACTGGTATTTTTGCTTACTAGCTTTGCTCGCTGCTTTTCCCTTCTTCCCTTTGGATTTATCCACAGGTCCGGATGACACAGCCTGATCTTGCACTGGGGCCATTTCCAACTCCTCAATAGGAAATTGCGGAGGTACTCCATACTGGTCAATTTCTTTCGCAAGCTTGTTCGCGCACGTTTGAATTGGCATTCCAGTGCAATGAAACCCGAAGGGATATAGGCACTTAATACCCTTCATACGTTTATACCCCACCACAAACTCAGCTTTGGACAGGGAGAAGGCATGCCCGATGTGAAGAAACCCGTTGCAATAAGGATACGGAAAAGTGGCAAGATACTTCTCCTGCTCCGCGTTAGATGCACCAGCCTCGGGAGCGTCTTCTTCAAAGATCTTCATCGACTGCCATTTCTCTTGAGCATCCTTCTGAATCTGCAGAAGGGCATCGCGACGTACGGTCGACATAATTGAGGAAGCTTGGTGCCAGGCCTGACAAAAAAGCAAACTCCAAGAACGAAAGATATAACTTTGGTGAGCAGTGTCCACTCTCAGAGCACAAGCTATTGACGGATGTTGCATGCGGTTGATACAGACTAGACTGCTTCGCTGTCAATGGCCCCAATGAACTCTCGACGGCGACTGCATGAACTGCGGAGAGTAGGCAAGCACGTCAGCGCCAACAGCAAGGTAAGAAAAAGCAAAATTACAGTAAATCATATGCTCAGGGTTAAAGAGCCCAAATAGGACACCTTGATTGGTCGTTTAGACCATATTATTAAAAACACCGGTCCATTGGCGGTGATCTGCCTCAACCTTATATGGACAGCACACGTGTAACCGTGTCATGTAAATGTCCTGTGAGATAGCAGCGCCCCCCCCCCCTTGAAAGTTAGATAAATAAACCCATACCTGGAAGACGACCCCCCCTCAGTTCAGAGGATCGTCCAGCTGTCTTCCGTATTATTCCTAATACGGGAGCGCAGGGAAGACAAAAATTGAATAGCTCGAGTATTTCCATTAAGGGTTTAATTGTAGTAAAGCTACTTCAACGCTGCGTGAGCAATACAAATAAGACACAGCTTTGTAAAGAAACAGTAAGAGTTTTTGGTGACAGGTTAACTTGTAGCAATGCCACCTGCAGCCCAGCTCTCTCTGAAATTCCATCCTTTTCCAGGCAGGCATTCAATATTTGTCGGCGATAAACATCTCATCAAAGGCTTGTTTATTCTCTCTTCTTGCCAAGCATTGAAGGAAGAGATTTAATCAATTAGTAGTGGAAGATCAAATCCCATGAGGCTAGGTGCACTTGAGAAGAAACTTTCTGTAAGATTTCCGTCGGTGAACGGAAATCGGAACGAGAAACTCGATGTTTTTTAGAAAACACTGCTCATCTTATAAGGATGTTGCTGTAATTTTCAAGCCTTGATACCTGTGGAAACATCTGCGGAAAGGGCTACAGGCTGGAGCTATCTGTGGGAAAACAGGGGTAATCAACGCTCTGCATCCACTTCCGATATTGCAAACATGCAACCAAGCAGTGTCAGTTCTACGTCAACTGGGCTTTAGTATACGCAGTATTTTCTCTCTCTGGATAATCTATTCCATTGGCGAAGAAGAACAAATAGGTTGGGCAACGTCCACCATCGAAATGTCGCAGTCTCTTTCATTGACGATGAGCTAAGTGGATATTGAAGGGACACAGCAGACCATGGCAACGTCCTCTCTTGTGGCTATGAATCAAAACTGTTCCTGCGTCACTTCCAAATACAAAATTGTGGGCCTCACATGGTTCGTAATCTACCTCTTCAGTCATGCATCACCTTTCTCCAAAAGGATCAATGCGATCAACGGATATGTCAATGAAGACATTTGCACCATTCGGTACTAAGCTTCTCTCTCCAATATTATAGCCCGTTGTAATATTTCTAATGACCAAAACAACACGATGCACATAAAGGGAGTAAGAAATGTCAGTACTCCTCATCCTTGAAGGGGTGCCAAAATCCTGGAAATGTGATTTCTGAATTTTGTACTTACGCCAATATACGCTCAGATGTCCCCTTTACAAGCCTCTTCCCACCCGGACGCATCCCAATGACTGAATCCTCAATTCCGGAAGGTACCTGGTGCGCTCCTGGTCGAAAAATTCCTGCTTGCTTTTCGTTCGCAGCATCAACAGTACTTCCATCCTCGAGAACCATTGCCCATCGGGCTACTACTAAACTCCCGGGTTTCACATAGATATCTCCTTGTCCAATTTTGACATCCTGTCCCTCTAGACCAGCGTTAACTTGGAAGAGCTTCTTCCCAGGTTCGAACGCTGGTGCTGGCCGGTCTGGGGGAAAGCGACCAATTCCAACATGTCTCCTTGTTCGGATAGCATCGTACGAATTCTCCTCTGTCTCTTCAGATTGCGCTGCTTGTGCTTTCGAAGTGGCCGCCCCAACTGCTGAGGCAACAAGCATGGAAAGCACAACGCGCCTGCTCAACATTTCCGTCCACGGATTGCTGTCAGATGCATGGTGACAGGCAGTGACAGGACATATACGAGAACAACTCGCGAAGGACTTTCGCGGTCCTTTTACTGAAACGGTTGCCGCTGGTGCAAAACAATATCCTGCCTTCGTGTTGTGCACCAGCAACCTCCCGTGCCCCCAGCATCTCTCTCGAGTCCTCCCTCTCCGCATCTGCGCGTCACAGCCCTTCATTGCGTGAAGAGGAATGCACTCGGGGCGATGGCCGCGCTTGGAAATTTTGTGGAACAAAATCACGCTTCAACAAGCCTTTCAAGAGATGTGAAAGTCCAGTTGCTGTGAGCTTGAGCCACCAACGGCACTGAACTAATCTTCTATCCACGTCTCTCTGCAATGACGGACCCCAATGACTGCGCCACGGATCTCCGGTCGCGATCTGGAGATAACAACGCTGAGATTTATGAGATCGAGTTGCAGTGTTCGCGTAGGCCTTGTTCTATTCTCACCAATTTTTTCAAAATTATTTGATCGCCTTTTTCGCAATGGCAAACGTGCTGTCATTGTATGCATCTACATGTACCAGTATGTAGTGGGACTGAGATCATCTAAAGCCCTCTCCATCCTCGTGATGGCCAGGATACAACTGGCCTTCACAGATTCAGTCTCAAGTAATTCCACCTGAGGATCACACCAAGCACTTTAACTGATAACCAGACAAGCTATGGTCGACTTAGAGGTAGATTGGATTGATGTGGAGAGTGGTGGTTCCGCTGAGACAAGCGTTGGAGTCGTACGATACCGCAGCATTACCAATGTTGCAAACACATCTACCTCAGTATATAAAGAGCATAGACTAGTTGAGTCTTTTTGTCTCACCGAAGCGTATGTTGTGGTCTCTTACGATGCTATACCACTAACCTCCGCTTCGATTACAGTATCGGTTCTGACTCAGCAGCGCTCAAGCAAGTACCAGTTGACCAAGCCAAAACGTGTGCACTACGGGGTTTCCACCTCAGAACCTAAGCAGTGGGTCGGGACACCCCAAGACTCTTACTTTCGCACGACATCAGACTCCGAAGTAACTTTTCAGGCTAGTTTCGACATGCACATGTGTGAGACTGATGTACTCGGCCTATCTTTTGTACTCCAACTTGAGGACGAGACGTGGGTGAAGAATCGTTTCGGAGAAGACTTTTACGTTGGTGGCGGAAAAAGAAAGATTCCCTGTGCGATAGAGATTCCATTCACAGCCCCTTCAAACATAAAACATGTTAAAGGGCAAATGCTTACGTTGCATCGAACCAACCCGTTCTGGTTGCAGCCCTCTTTTGCAGAGAACGCCTTGCACCATTGTGAACAAGAAACTCAATTCGTTCTACTCCCTTCTTCGAAGCTTTCAAGACGAAAGCACTGGCACGAAACTGGAAGCGACTACCTTGTTCTATTGCCTCTTGTAGACAATGTAAACGGAATTCGGGCAAGCCTTTTCGGCATCTCAAGATCAAATTACTCTGGTATCAGATTAGAGACAGGCCGCTGTACTCCACTGGAACTGGCAGACATTGCGGGGATCAAAGTTTGTGTAGCTGTTTCTTCGGGGTCTCCATACCACGCAGTTCGGTATGCCGTGAAGTTTAGCGCTGGTATCTTGCCTTCATTCTCATCGCGCTTAGACAAAGTAGCATCGCATAAGTGGGACCATTTCATCAATTCGCCTAAAAAAGGTGTTCTCACTTCTTTAGGTTATTGCACATGGGACGGGTACAGTCATATGGTGTGCGAAGCCGGGATCATGACTGCTCTTCAGTGGCTGGCGGAGGAAGGCATTTCTCCAGGATATACGATAGTCGATGACGGGTGGCAAGCGGGAGGTGGTGCCGGACCAAACTTTGAATATTCTCCAGAATCAGGAGTGAACACAGGACGTCCAACCTTGTCTTCATTTCATGCGAATGACAAGTTTGCAAATTCTTTGCGAAGCATATCGTCAAAGTCGTCCGCAGAAATCCTAGCATGGGTTGCAATCATTGGGTATTGGGGAGGAACAAGTGGCTTTCATTGTGACGTGAAAACCCAGTATGTGGCGGGAGCACTTGCCTCAGGTCTTCACTTAAATAACGTAGAAGATTCAGCTTTCTGGGAAAAGAGCTACGAGATTGTGCATCCAGGCATGGAATTCGTCGCAAGGTACTTCGAGAAATATTTTGTTCAAAGTCTGGCAGAGTCCCAAGGCGTCTCGGGCGTGAAAATAGATGCGCAAAGTATTCTAGAAATTCTTTGCAATCCTATACCCCATTCAAAAGAGAATAAAACGACAAGGATATCTGTGACGGCTTCGTATCGAGCTGCTTTGACGAAGGCAGTTGAAAGAGCCTTTCCATCTAGTGTTGTACTTAACAGCATGGCCTGTGGTCCGGAAACTGTTTATTGCTCTGGGAAAGAGCTAAGCGAATGTAACATATGCTGGCGGACTTCCAATGATCATGCCTTTCCTGGGGTTGAAGAAAGCGCTGAATCCGTGAGTTGGCACATTCTCTGCAACGCCATGACGAGCGTGTTTCTTGGTGAAATTTTTCCGGTGGTAGACTGGGATATGTTCCGAGTGTCGGACAGATTTGCACGCCTACATGCTGTTGCTCGGATTAGTTCAGGAGGCCCACTTTATTTCAGCGATGCCATTCCATTCCAAACTGACTTCGCACGCATGGCAAAAGCTCTTTTGAAAAGCTTGACTACGCATGAAGGACATCTGCTTCGATGTCAAGACCCCGGTAGACCGACATTGGACTGCCTTTTTGTAGACCCGAGGTCTTCCCCAACAAGATTGTTCAAGGTGTTTAATCGAAACTCTGTTTTGGGATTGATATGTGTATTCAATTTGAATCCAAGTGAAGGTTCACCCGACGTTCTTGGCTCCTTTCAGCCTTCGGATTTGCCCGATTTCACAGCGCTGACAACATCTTGTCGCTATCTATCCCTAATCGAAGGGTCTTCTGCTGCACTGTTTTTGCACGAGAATGTGCGTCACGGTTGCGAACTGAGGCTACCGGCCATGTGCGGTGCTCTGGTCCATATTTGCCCTGTCTTTGAAGTCTCTAGCAGTGTCGAGTTTGCCTGCCTTGGTCAGCCCCACTTGCTCAACGCCGGTGCCGCTCTTCAGTCTATATCAATCAGTAAATTGATTACTGACTACAAACCGAAACAAGCAGGGACAAACCTACAAGACTGTGAGAATATTGTTGTGGAATTGTCTTTCTATGACTATGGGACCACATATGTCTGGCTCGGAGAACAGTCCCATCGATTTCTACTATCTGTTGCATCACTGAGTGGAAAAGAGGCTCATTGGGAAACAATTTATATCGGTGAAGTCAAATTGCTTGCAGTTCAAGTGCCTCCTCTGGCTCCGTGGGGGATTTGCATGCGATTTGAGAATGAAGATGGATAAATTAAAGTTGGCGAAAGCCCAGAGCATCAAGTCGAAGTTGCCGACGACTTCACATGCATGAAATTATAGCTCTAGAAGAATCTTGAATGATTTCAACACGATAGTAGATTTCCTAGGATATGTGCACTGCGGTTATCGCTTTGAAGATTTCTTGTTTGGGAGAAGACCGCAACTATGTGGCTACCAAGCTAAATGCTACGAGTTTCTTGCCCTCGAGGCCTGCAGAATTCAAAAAATGGACGTCTACTTCGACGTCAAAAACTGTCATAACAGGCTAAATATGGTTTATCGCTCTGCATATAGTAGGCCCCTTCGGATGATATGATCTAAAATGTCAATAAAACTGAAGTTCAAGCACTGCTGGGTTATTCAATTTTGAATCTATGTACGGAGGCATCGGATATCTCTATGTCACTAGAGCCTTCACATGGCGCAGAGACGATCCAGTCCCTGCGGACTGCCATGAGGTTATATGTATTTTTTTTATCCACAACACAAGGCACCAGAGTGGAGCACATGAAAATCAACGATTGATGTCCATGATGGGACTGTTCTTGACTAATGTCAGAGAGAGGATAAAAACCAAACTTACGGCAGCAATTGTGTTTCATTGCAATGGAAAGCTTTTGGCCAAGTTCGGATGTTTTTATCAGAGTGGCTCGGAAAATGTTTAGAGCAGCTTAGGGGCGCCCTCTAGCTCGAAGGACGGAAGCTGAGAGCAGGTTAAAAGAAAAACGAAATGTAGAAAATATTTCTATACCAAACGCTCAAGTAGAGGAAATGGTTCTGCAGGCATACGCAGTCAAGCTAGAACGGAAAAAAGGCATGCCGAGGGCTTTATGTGGACACAACAAAATATTTTGAAGAAATAGACGCTTTTGCCTGTTGCTATGTGTTTTGGATAAATTAATTAGAAATACAGCTTTTCGGAGTTTCCGAGTTGCACTTGGAAGCTATCGAAGTGGAATTGAGAGCTGCGAAAATTGAGGAATACTGTACAGTAGTACAGTATGCGCAAAAGAGCAAGCTTAAAACATGAAGTGTATGCCTCTTCTCGTTACGGTAACCTACAATATATACAGTCGATATGTGGTGTAGTACATACGTCGCATGCCATCCTTTCTTCACTTCTCAGCCGTACGTTTCTCGCGAAAAAAGGAAGCGAAGAGTTACATGTCTTACCGCAACGCTGTAGTGTAAAAGTCACTTCCACAGGCAACGTATTCTGGCATAGTGCACGGGCTTCAGATACAGTATATACAAATTGACGCGAAGCTGTTCGTCAAAACCCTTTCGGGTCGTAAACTTCAGGTAGCGAAATCTCTACATTTTTAAATAGCAATAAATACTGGAGCAAAGTCAACAAAGTGATCAATGCTCGTGAACTCGTGCGGAGTCTCTTCCTAGGCGGAAGATCAAAAAAACTCCTAATGAAGCTATTAGGATGGAGAAGACGGCGATGACGGCGAAGCTCGACGAACTGTATGTCGGCGGCGCTATCATCACAAACCAAAAGAGGCTGAGATCCCCGAATAGATACAGCGGTTCCATCTTGTTTTTCAACAAAGGCAGGCACAACCAAGATGTCACCCACAATATCAATATTCCCACAGTGACAAATCGCAGAATTTGAACAATTCGGCGTGGATTCTTCCTCTTTGTCAATCTGAACTCGCTTATCAATGCAAGTAACGGCACTAGAGAATGCTGTTCAGTTAAATGATATATTCCCTGCACCGCCGCAGCCCCAAAACAGACTGCACGGCAAGAAGAGAAAATGAGATGAAACAACTCGGTCAGTATCGCAAATTCTCCCAAGGCAAAAGTCACCGCATGCTTCAACAGTACGGAAGTCGGAAGTGCAGCAAATACTCACTCGCTACATCCGAGACGCGAATCGGGCAATTCCTCGCCTCAATACAATCATTGACGTCAACAAAAACGCTTTCCATCGGGGACACAGTGGACAAATCCTGGAGCAGCTTCAGCAGGGAAATAATAAGCGTGACCAGCTCCATCGCAATATACAAGATGGCGGACAAGATCAAAAGATGTCTGTCAATCCTCCCGCCCTTGATGCGCTGACACAGCGAGAGCGATCGATACCTCGTCTGCACCAGCTCCGCCGGGGTAGAGTCTTCCATCTGGTGGAGCTCGAACGTCTCGGCCGCGCCACTGTGCTCGCGCCTATACCACGGGCTGAGATAGATGCGCAAGTTGGGGTACCAGGTCTTCGTCTTGACGACATACCCGGTCGCGATGCAGGTCATGAGCAAGCTCTCATGGTACAGGCTCGACAGGACCGCGGTCGCCCAGGTCAGATACGCGCCGCCGACATCTGCACCGTTGTCGTCGCCGGGCACCTGCACCGTGACGGCGACGAGGGCCAGGGAGAGTTTGACGGCGAAGACGATGCACAGCCTCGCCAGGACGATGCATGCCAAGCGCAGGGTGAGATGGGATCTGTTGGTCTCCCAGCTGGAGGCGATGTTGTACAGAATGTTGGCGAGCGCGACACTGGCCGCACTGGCAAAGACGGCGAATGCGTAACGGGAGGCGGAGCTTCCCAGCGCGGGGCGGGGCTGGTCGACGTCGCGGTCGCAGAGCTTTGCAGTACCTTCTTCGTCAAGCTCGGCAGAGTCTGGCTCGCCGACGGCGGACGGGCTAGGAAGCATTTCGCCGGCTGTAGGCTCCCCGTCGACAGCTGATTGCGAGGGTTCGGGCTGGGGGCTTTGCTCTTCTACGGAGTCGTCACCGAAGGCCGGCTCCGGATCGGAGGTCGTAGCGGGGTCCCCGCCGGAGTCGCCCTGGGGTTCGGGGCTCTCGGAGGGGGCTTCCGGGGCGTCGGCGGGGAGGACGTCGGGTTCTGGCGTAAGCTCGACTAGAGAGAACGCTGGAGTGGCGTCTACGATTGGAGTTTCAACTGCGGCTGGGACCGTGCTTGGGACCGCGCTTACGACAGAGGCCGCACCGCTTGAGCCACCGCTTGAGCCAGGCCTAGGACGGCGCGAAGGCCGCCCGGGACGGCGCGAAGGCCTGGGACTGCCTGGAGAGGTCCCATCTACGATTGGAGTTTCAACTGCTTCTGGGAGCGTGCTTGGGGCCGAGCTTACGACAGGGGCCGCACTGCTTGAGTCTTCTTCGTCTACGCTTGGAGTTGTTGCGGGTGTCTTGTCATCGCCTGAGCCAGGCCTAGGACGGCGCGGAGGCCGCCCGGGACGGCGCGAAGGCCTGGGACTGCCTGGAGAGGTCCCATCTACGATTGGAGTTGCAACAAAGGCTGGGAACATGCTTGCGCTTGCGACAGGGGCCGCACTGCTTGAGCCATCGCTTGAGCCAGGCCTAGGACGGCGCGGAGGCCGCCCGGGACGGCGCGAAGGCCTGGGACGGCGATCAGGGCCACGGGTTGCGGTGGGGAGGACGGTTGCGGCGGGGAGGACGGTTGCGGCAGGGGGACGGAGCGAAAACGCGGGAAGGGCAGTTGGCGGCGGGGGACGTGGTGGCGGAGGTGAGGGAGGAGGTGAGGGCGGAGGTGAGGGCGGAGGTGAGGGCGGAGGTGAGGGCGGAGGTGAGGGGGCAGCTGAGGGTGGAGGCGAGGGTGGAGGTGAGGGCGGAGGTGAGGGGGCAGCTGAGGGTGGAGGCGAGGGTGGAGGTGAGGGCGGAGGTGAGGGCGGAGGTGAGGGCGGAGGTGAGGGGGCAGCTGAGGGTGGAGGCGAGGGTGGAGGCGAGGGCGGAGGCGAGGGCGCGACATTGGGAATATCCGGGACGTAGGACGCGTGGGCGACGGCGAGGAGGGCCAGGGCGGCGATGGCGAAGCGCATAGCGGACGAAGAGTCGGGGCGTGTGCGAGGCGGGAATTGGGAGGCGCGGGCCGGGGAGGGGCCATGGCTGCGCGACAGATGAAGTATGCATTGCTCCTAGGAGCAGTGAGGCGGAGCGTGTTGCATTGCAAGGGCGGGCAGCGGGAATGGAGGAGCTCGGCGGGTGGGGCGCGGTGCCGACGTGGATGCGCGCGCAGGGGTTTCGTTGAGCGCGGCATTGCTACACATGGCGCAGGCGAGGCGGGCAGGGTGTGCGGCGGCCAATGACGGCGGAGGGTTGCGGGGCGGTTTACACGCGCCGGCGGAGGAGGGCGTCGAGGAATTGCCGCCACGAGCTTGGCGACGCGTCGCCAACCTTTAAACGCCGCGCCACCACACGAGCACGCCGCCCGCGTCACACACGCGACCCTCGCGACACTGCCGCTTTGTTGGTTTCTTCGTGCCTCGCGAGGGGCCACGCTTGGCGCCCGCCGCCGCGCGCGGCCGCGTCGAGCGCGACGTGCTCGACCTTCGGACACGCTTGCGACGTCGCTGCCGCCGATCACACCCCTGGCGCTGGCAGAGCGCGTCCGCCGGCAGCGCTGTTGCAACAAGTGCGGCAGACGCGCTGGCGCCGCGCCGCGCACATGAAACGCTTGTAGCCGTTAATGCCTGCAACTTTTTGTAAGCCGTGGCTCGGCGTGTGTTGCGCATTCCGGGCCCTTTCGCGAGCGCGTATCAGACGCGATACAGCGCCGCCTGCAGATTGCTTGCAGCAGCGCGGTGACGATCGGTGGTCATATGTATCTCGGCGTCGAGGAATTGCCGCCACGAGCTTGGCGCCGCGTCGCCAACCTTTAAACGCCGCGCCACCACACGAGCACGCCGCCCGCGTCACACACGCGACCCTCGCGACACTGCCGCTTTGTTGGTTTCTTCGTGCCTCGCGAGGGGCCACGCTTGGCGCCCGCCGCCGCGCGCGGCCGCGTCGAGCGCGACCTGCTCGACCTTCGGACACTCTTGCGACGTCGCTGCCGCCGATCACACCCCTGGCGCTGGCAGAGCGCGTCCGCCGGCAGCGGTGTTGCAACAAGTGCGGCAGACGCGCTGGCGCCGCGCCGCACACATGAAAGTTTCATATGCTCGGCGCGCCAACGATATCAAGTCCATTTTTTCATTTTTGCTTTGTTGGATCTCGCTACTGTATACTGTGCACATCCCTCTCCACCTGTCTCCTGGCCAGGTGGCACTCCCTTTTACCACATGCCTTTTGCTCATTTATTCATGCAGAAAGTTTATAACTTCATGAATCTTCATGCAGAAAGGACTTTAGATCTCGCATTGTCAATGTGGCCACGACTTACACGTTGGCTTTTTGTGCATCGTGTTATTGCCACGTTACCAACTTGTGCTAAGTGGCAATGCGCACGTGTGCCGTTGTAAAGGCTGTCACGTTGAATAAAGGGTGCCTTAGAGGCACCTGGGAAAAGCAGCGATGACGATCGTACAGTACAGTGCACGAAAAAACTAAAGAGCACCCCCAAATGGTGAATGCATTGGGGTGCCCAAAGTTCCATTCAAATGGAAAAACTGCTCAAAGGCACTGATTCTATGTTGCATATAAAAGAGCAAAATTTCGCATTGATCCCTTTATTATTTTGAAATATATATCCACTTCGGCTACTGTAGAGGGTGTAAGACCTATAGAGCATTGAAACGAGAAGCGCACCAACGGAAGGATAACAAGTGGCTAGTACGATGTGTTACCGCCGCCAGCTTCGATGACATCTAAGCAGCGCTTGTGCATGCTCTTCACAAGCCCATACAGATACTTACGGTCCAATTTCGACCATTCTTCAGGAACTGCAGTTTTTAGATCGTCAACTGTGTTATATTGACGGCAACCAGCGTAGACAGCCCGCGCGAGCACTCCCCAAACGTTCTCAATGGGATTGAGGTCGGGACTTCGCGCGGGCCAGCTCATTACGTTAATATTGTTAGCAATAAACCATGCCTCCGTTACCTTAAGACCTATGCATAGAGACATTATCCTGCTGAAATACCCATCCATTGCCGTGCATTCCTTCTGCGAAAAGCAGCAACTAGTTAGCAAGTGTCGTAGTGTACATGGTAGAGTTCTGCATACCAGCAATTATCACTAAATTTGAAGTACCAAGTTCAGAAAATGCCCCATATCATTAAAGAGCCACCTCCCATCTGTCGACGATACAAAACCTTTCCCTCCTTTCGCAAGTCGTGCCAGTAGTATTAGAGCCGGTCAGGACCATCGAGGTTGAATTTCTTTTCGTCTGAAAAGATGACCTGTCCCCATTTCTGCATGTTCCACCCTGCTCTTTCCTTTGCCCAATTCACACGCACTGTTCTATGCCTTGGAGTCAATGGAAGCGCTATTTTTGCCTTTTGATACTGTAGGAGAGGGCTCCTTGATAAAATCTGCTGTACCCTGCGCTTAGAAACCGGCAATTCTAGCTCCCTTCTTAATGTTTCAGCACTTTTTCCCCCTTCGAGGCCTCACGCAGAAGCCCACGAGACTCTGCAGGGGTCATTTTGGGCGGACGCCCACCGGCGTGCTTTTTGTGGTATAACTACCTTCGTCCCGACCACTCGGAAACGAGGGGGGTTAGAGGTAAGGGAGCGCGCGCCGCTGGGTAACCCACGCGCGAACGCAAACCGTATGGAAGGACTCGAAAAGAGGGAAGGCTCACGTGGCCGGTGACGCGCAGCCAGCCGGTAGTGTTAGATCCGGACGGCCGGTCACGGGTTAGAAGCCTGAGACTACAAGGGAAACCGGAACGGGATAGCAATTAGCCGTAAAGGGAAGGGAGGCGAGTCTGCCCCCGTTTACTGGAACGGGGCAGGTGCCCCCGGTCTTAACCCCTAAGTGGGACGTCAGGACACCTGTCCCGCTACAGTAGCTGTTACGTACTGTATACCAGCTACTGTGCTAAATTGACTAATTTGTGCCATTAACTATTAATTGCTAATTACTTACCCGACGGGTCGCACACGTGTGCCCGTGGCTATGACCGGCGTCGACGGTTATGCCACGTGTACGCCGTGGAGGTACTACTGCGCTTTCCGAGGGCGCGTGCACGATTGCTACAGTAGTAACCGCCCGTCCAGGCGGTGCTCATCTCCCATCGGGGGTCATGGTGTGGAATTGTACCACAGACCCCCTTCCTTACTTTGCGACACGTCCCCGTCGCGGCTGGGGGTTGACATGACCGGCTTGCAGGGTGTCCCATCCGTACCGAGAAGCTCGCGCCGACCACAGGGGCGCGGGCGGACTACGGCCAACTCCATAGGGGAGCCTATGGAGTTTTTGGTATTTAACCGCGTCGGATCCCCTGGCGCTTCAATGGGTCCCCTCACGCTCTCCTTTTCTCCCACATCACCCCACACCACACACCCCATTACCTCCACTTCCACCTCTCGCCTCACCCCCCTGT